GCCTCTGGCTCTTTTGCCAGTGTTGTTGTTGAGCCAACATGGAGAATTTGGGGAGTGTGGGTAGAGCCCTGGGACGCCTTGCCCCATCTGTTAGCATGTCCCCTCCAGCCCCCCCCCCCAGCTTCTCAGCATTTTGGTGCACGGCCCCCTGTGGCAACTTGGCGAAAGCTACAAGTCTCAGATCTTAGAATGTTAAGTGAGTAAAATAAAGTAATTTGGGTTGCAAAGAGAATCATATATATATTATACATGTAATGTTGATGATTATACATATTACAGACACCACAGGTATCTGATAGATTTGTACCTACAGCAACTATAATTGATAAAAGAATTACCGTGATTTCTATTGATAAGAAAGTCACAGGTAGTGCTGCTTCCGCAGGGATTTCTTCACATTCATGATTAAAATAAACATTAGCTTTCAGTCAGAGACTAGTGAAAATGAAGATAAACTCGTTTCCTGTTTTAGTTCAAGGACACACAAGGAGCCCCAAGTTCAGCGCTATCTCTGTTGAAGGCTGAAGTGAATGTGGATAAAATAAAACCAATACCCACGTGTCTCCCTGAGCTCTGCTCACGGCATCTGCTCTGATAGTCAGCAGTGCTGTGTGTCTGTCTAACTCTTTGTTTATAAGGCCTTGGAAACTTTGCTCTCCACTCCCAATGCAGTGAAACTATTTCAAACTCTGAATGAGTTTTTTATTCCCCCAGCTGAGTCTCCAACACCCATATTCAAACAAGGGTGTCTAAGGCCTGACTTCTCCCCGGCTAACTCCCTCATGTGACCAAATCCTTTTCGTTGCTTCAATCTTTCAGCAAGCGTGATGACGCTTAGCACAGCCAGGTCTGTGAGGCTGAGAGCCCAGAGCACATGGGGGAGAATAAGGAACCTGGAGGAAGCCAGGTCGAGGCACAAAAGGCAATTCCAAGATGTGTTCTGAGGTCAGCTGAGGGGAGGGCGCTTCAGGGCCCAACCACCCACTCCCTGCTTGTGTTTGTCTCCTCTCTGCCCAGAGTCTTCTGCCTGAAGTCAAGAGGGACAGATTCTTAAGACAGCTGCATGCTGTCAGAAGTTAACCTTATACGTGTTTAATTAGTGCACTTTTTAAAGCAAATGAAGCTGTCTTCCAAGACGCTTAGTTTGTGGCTTTTCTTTGGAGAGAAAGATTAATATTCCATTGCCCCAGTATTTTCTAACACAGCTGGCTTTTTATATCTGCAACAGTCGGCCTGGAGTGGATTTCAACTCTAAGGGGGTAGCAATGAGGCCTTTTGAATTCCATTAGCTCCTCACATTCCTCCTGCTGGTTTTTTTTTTTTAAGGTTTATTTATAGACATCTAAGACGTTTTCCGGCATAACTCTCCGTGTCCCAGGTACTGTATTAATATAGTCATCAGAGGATTTATTTTTTAATGTCATTTTGGAATGTCAGAGCAATGAGCTCACCTGAAAGAAGACCTATTGGGTAACTTTTTGAAATGGATCCCGGCCTTAGGTGAAAGGAATGTATTAAAACCCCCATTATACTCTGGGGCTTGCTGGGAGAGCTTGCATTTAAGCCCCATGAAATATAATGCGAGGGGATCTCGCCGGGATATCGAAGCTCTGAGGCCAGGAATGAAAGGCAGGGAAGCTGCGGAATGCAGTGACCTTGAGGCTTTGTGGCTGGGTCCTGAGGTGCAGCCCTTTAATGCCTGCCATTTTAATGGCCTCAGTCATAGCAACCAAGAGATGGCACAGCACAGTCTGGTATTTCAGCCCCGTCCCTCTGGAAAAGAAAGAGGCGTTCTGTTTAGAGATGGTGGCAGCTCTGAGCCGAGGGGCAGTGGAGGGGAGAGGGTCACCAACCTCCACCAAGGGGTCTCCCAGGTGCCCGACATTCAGGTCAAGCCACATGCAGCAAGTTCCCAGAAAGCCCATGCCCCGCTTTTGTGTGTGTGTGATCCCTTCTTTCTGCTGCTCTCAGAGGAAATGTTTCCGGTAAGAGCTGCCTCCGGGATTTGGAAATCTGGTTGTGCATGGAATGTCGGTTGTCAGGACTACTGGGTGTGAAGGGATCTGACCTTCACTTGGCTCCAGGGCTATAATTGGGTGGTTTCACACAAAAGTAGATTGTTCAAATGTGAAATCAGAAAAAAAAAAAAAAATCAGGGAGTTTTAGAAATAAGACTTATGCAAAGGGTGAGCTTTTACTTTGGAGGGGGGTAGTTTGGGGTTGGGGCTACCTGATTTTTCTCTCTAAAGTTTCAAGGGGGAGTCTGTCCCCTCCCTGCCTTGGCGTCAGTAAGGTTTTGGGCTTACAAGGCCTGCTCTGTTGAAGCTGTGTGCTGTGGTACACGGTGGTGGGAACGTGCTGGGAGCTCAGGGCGGCTCGGGCGTGAATAATTGAGAGAGGAGAGGGGGAAACACAGTCCAGGCTCCAAACAGCACAGTTTCTCTGCCTACACAGTTCATTTATATAGTCCAGCACTTTGCCCGCAGCAGGAAATAACACATTCAACAGATGACAATTCAGTAGCCTGAGTGATTGCCACTCCCTTAGGACAGTGGGCAAGTGTCCCAGAGCAAGTTGGAGACGGGAGTCTGAGAGCCCCTCGCTCGGCCCTGGCCCTGTGCGCCCCTGGTCATTTAGGCATCTCATACAGCGGTTCTACTGGAAAAACCACAGTCCCATGTGAATCCAGTCATCGTGCACCTGCACTGCTGTGTCCAGATTCTCCAGTGCGTACACACTGTACAGATTTGAATGTACAAACCTGCATGTATGTCTTGTGTAAATAATGTATATTTGGGCAAGGAAGAGAATTTCCAAAGGAAATTAGACCTTACCTTAGTTGTATCACGGGCTGTCTTCAGAGACCAACTCCTGTTAAAGATAAAACTCCTGCCTTCATGGTGCATAGCGGTTAAGAACTTCTTCTGGAGTCAGAGCCATGACTTTCTGGCTGAGAATCTTGGACACCAAGATATCACATCTCTGTATGCAACAGCTCGCCCATGTGCTGAGCAGAAATACTACCCGTCTACCTCACAGACTTGTTATTAAGACTGGATAGTACCTTTCACAGAAAATATAGTGCCTGGCACATCATTAGCATTGAATAACTGTTAACCATGGTTCTGAATACAGAAGAATCTTAGCGTTGCTGATCTCGGTGTTAGCCACTTGTTTTAGGTGACACTAAAAGAGATGGTCCATGTTTAAATGAGATAACGCTGATGCCCACTGGTGCCTCCTCCCACTTTTAAGTGCCAGTATTCTGACTGACCCTGGGCTGCAACATTTTCTCTTTGATTTTTTTTGCCAGGCATTTCTTTAGAGCAGCTGTTTCTATTCCCTCTTTCTACCCTCATGGGTCTGCCCTGGTTTCCCCACATGTCCTCACACTCTCACTGGTTCATTCAACACCTGTCTGCTGAGCACCCTGTGTGCTAGGTCAGTCATGCTCACCCTAGTAAGAATCAGTCATATCGTGTTGTCAATCCAGGTATTCCCAGCCTACCTCACAGGAAGTAGGGTCTTTCCTGGTCCTTCCCTAGTTGCAGGCCCGCTGCCTCAGTGGAGCAGCAGTGCGGTGCTCCAGCCCGTGGCTCACCCCACCCACTCTCACCTCTCCATCAAACAGGGACCAGTTCCCTGAGGTAGGACAGCAGTCCGTGTTTTCCAGGAAGTATCCCAAAGCTGCATTTCCCCTTCCATTATGAGCACCAAAAACCATTGGTAGGATGTTCTTGAGAACTATCATTTCTCGAAATTGGGATATTCTGTATTTAAAAGTAAGAAGAGTGACCTTTGGAGACATTTCTAGGAACGCCTAAGTAGCTTGAGAGTTGGTACACTGTCCTAAAATTAGTAATGGTTATAAAAAATCCTTGACCAAAAACTTCTAGGCTCCTCATATAAAATGAATCATTTTCCAAAATAAATGAGCTTATGGTGGTGGTTTGCTTATGATTCACAGAAACAAACAATTATACATCACCAAGGCCAAACTAAAGCTGGTAAGTCTGTAATTGGTTAACCTGGTGAACCAACACTCCGGGTTTTTCAGAAGGAAAGGACTATACTTGCAGCCTTTGGCAGGCTGAGGGCCGTGGCAGACCACGAGGTATTCAGAGAACACGGAATGAATGCACTGGGCTAGAAACAGGTAACACCCACCTGCTTGGTAAAAGCCTTAGCATTTCGATCCAGTTTCCTGCTGTCTTACAGTTTAGAAGTGGTTCCTACAGATGCTTATGTAACTCGGCTCATTCAGCTATCACAGGAACATTTATCCACCACTTTCTTTTATCACCATTTAAGTTTCCTGTAGCAAGGAGAAGCGGTCAGAATCATTTCACTGACTTCAGAGATGGTACAGATTCTTAGTCACTCAGCTTAACGGCTCTGTTGACAATTCTTAGGATAATCCATATGTCTTAGGCAGCCCTTAAAACAAGCGTCCTCAAACTACTGCCCATGGGCCCCATGCAGCCCGCCTAGGATATTTATCCGGCCCGCCGGGTGTTTTTGCCGCTGCTGCCTGTCCTGCTTAGCAGCCGACTCGTCCAGGGGCCCGCAGTCCGGCCCTCCGATGGTGAGGGACAGTGAACTGGCCCCTTGTTTAAAAAGTTTGAGGACCCCGCCTTAAAACAATCACCAAGTCAATAACACAGACAAAAGCAGCTTCTAAACTTCTCTTGTAGAATTGCAAAGCATGTGAATGCTTCATAATTACCTTTGCAGTGACTTACCTGGAAGGGCTTTATATAAATAACTAAGAATTAATGAGTTTTACTGTGTGCCAGGCAGTTTCTAGGAATATTTTTACTTAATTCTTCTTAATAACCCTGCAAGTTTTTATTTTACCCTTAAAAAACCCCTGAAGTTTGGAGTCTTCATCGTACCAGTCTTACATTAAAGAGAGTGAGTGAGATCCTGGATTTGAATTAACTTGTATTCATTGGACACCTGTGGTGTATCAGGTTCTAAAACTGTAGAACTGCAACAGAGCTGGCTTCTGCCCGCAGAGAGTCCGCACTTCTCCCTGGGGAGGCCACAGAAGGGCGGTACCTCTGTGCAGAAGTGTCGGGCTCAGACACAGTTTCTTTAATTTAGGGACAACAATGAGGTGCTGTTTTTAGCAGGAGACACTGCCCAAGTGATACTAGTGTGTATTTAAGGTAAGAACCCCCAGCTGTGCTCGCCACCGAGCAAGGCCTCCACTGACCTCAGTTAACACAGAATGCTGGAGTCTTATCTGGTCCTTCACTTTTCTTATACGCAGAAGAAACCTGGTTTTTGTCTTGGTCGGTTCCTTTGTTTGTGTTACGATTCTTCCTGTTCCAATGGAGGATCACTGTCCTTTTCCCGTAGGTAACAGAAGGACATTGGAAATGGGGCGGCGTCACAGTCCAGGTGAACAGCGCCTTCTTCACAGGCATCTACGGGATGTGGAATCTGTACGTCTTTGCACTGATGTTCTTGTACGCACCGTCCCATAAGAACTACGGGGAGGACCAGTCCAATGGTGAGTCCCAGGCTCTTTAGCACAGCTCAGTTCAGGGTAAGTGGGCTTCTGTCTCTACAAGACTTATGCGGCTAAAGCTCTGAGTTCACCAGTTGAACTTTCCTTCAGCTTCTACCTTGACCCTGGGAGACAGTGTGTGAGCACCCTGACGGATTCTGGAAACCTCAGGCAAAAAGCCAACACACACCAGATAATGTGCTCCAAAGTCTTCACTGTTTAATCTCTAAAATACACTGAGAACATTTCATCCTAGTCTACAATATGTCCTGACTTTAGTCCTGGATTTGAGCCGCACTATCGTACCATGTTTACCCTCCCAGTCTGAGAAGCAGGCTCCTAAGATCACAGGTGGAAGGAGGCTGTGTCCAGAGGGTGGAGGACGGAGTGGGCTTCACTTTCCTCCTGCCAATCCCCTCCTGTTCCCAGAACCTCCTTGTCCTTTTCTGGGATAAGCTGTCTTGTCCCATCTCATAATCACAGAACCCTGAAACATGAATGCTTCAAGTAACCTGAGAGAATGCAGCCAGTCTGTCATTTTACAGATGAGGAAACTGAGGCCTGCAGAGCTGAGGGGAAGAGCTTGCCTAGGGCTTCTCCATGACAGCAGACAGAAGTGATTATCGCTGCCCAGGCCAGTGCTGGGAGCTTGTCCTCTTGGTGGGCTAAAATCACTTGGCCTGACGGATCCTCTCTGCGGCCCCACCCTTCCCCCTTCTCTCTCTGACACCTGCTCCCCTTGCTGTGTACTTGGTATTCCTACTGTGTGGAGTCAGTGCTGTGTGCTTGGTGTTCCTACTGTGTGGAGTCAGTGCTGTGTGCTTGGTGTTCCTACTGTGTGGAGTCAGTGCTGTGTGCTTGGTGTTCCTACTGTGTTGAGTCGGTGCCTGTGCCCCTCGCTCCACCCTGCAGCAGAGACCAGGACGGCAGTCCCATAAAACCAGAGCTGGCCTCACTTTTAGGAAGTGCTGGGCGAGTGTGGTGAACAAAAAGGTTGTGTGTCCTGCCTCCATCTGGGCCCGATGAAACCCAACTCATCTTTTGGGCCCAGACAAAATGCAGCCTCTTCCTGGAAACCTATTCCTGACCTCCCCATCATTAGAATCCTGCAAATTCTGCTCAGTGGAACATTGTTTCCCTGGGATGTCAGATAAGCTGGACAATCCGCAGCTTGATCAGCATGCATGTGGCCTTCACAGTAAGACTTCTTAACGCCTGTAGGACACTAACTTGTACTGTAATCTTGTAAAGGGTTGGAGTAAACCATTTCCCCAAATCATGAGATCCTTTGGCCCGGGCGGTGTCTCTGTTGGAAGCAGAGTCCTGAGGAACAGGCCCGGGGAACGCGGCTCCGGGGTCTGCATGTGCTCGTGGGAGGAGGCGGAAGAGGGTTTACTGACACCTTTGCTTTCTAGCTGGGACTAGTCCTTCAGGACGCTTAAGAAAGAAACCAGAGTTCTAGACTAGCTGTGATGTCCCACAGAGGGCCGGTGATGGGGGAGTTGTTAAGATGTATGACAGGTGGACACAGAAGAAGTGGGGGGAGCCTTGAGCCGAGGATCAGGGAGAGCTGAGTGGTCTCTGCTGCCATCTCTCTGGGTGTTACACTCACCACTTCATCCATGCAAGGGCGTCCTGGACGTGAGGGTCTCTTCTCCTTGACGTTTTCAGTGCAAAGACTTCTTTTCGTCCCTCTCTGGCCTTCGGTCTGAGCTAAGAATAGTTTGGTTTCCCGGCCCCTTGCTCGACGCTTGGTTCAACTGGCTACCCTTCCAGAAGGCTCGTGCGTAAGGCCACCTCTGCTTCCTTTCTGCGCTAGCACTGGTGTTTTGCTGCCCGCGTAGAAACGTCACAAGCAGTGGGCTTCTCAACAACAGCAGCACGGGGTTCCCGGCTGGGGGAGAAGATTCCTGATTTCACTTCATGGTCGTTCTGATGGGCTCTCACGGAAACACAGGGCCTTGAGTCTGCCTTCCAGGGAAGTACCATGTAAAGAACCTCAGACCTGGCTCGGCGCCTATAGCTCAACCGGCTAAGGCGCCAGCCACGTACACCCAAGGTGGCGGGTTCGAATCCCCAGCCCGGACCCGCCAAACAACAATGACGGCTGCAACCAAAAAATAGCCGGGCGTTGTGGCAGGCACCTGGATCCCAGCTACTTGGGAGGCGGAGGCAGGAGACTCGCTTGAGCCCAGGAGTTGGAGGTTGCTGTGAGCTGTAATGCCACGGCACTCTGCCCAGGGGGACAGCTTGAGGCTCTGTCTCAAAAAAAAAAAAAAGAACCTCAGACCTGCCAGTGTTGGGAGGGTCACACTGGTGGGCAGTCCTTATGAGAGCCGACTTGGGCAGCCCCTTTTTGTACCTAAACTCTCCAGCTTGTGAGATTATGGGCAAACCACTTAACCCTCTGTGCACCAGTTCTCGCAAACGTGAGTGATCTCGTAAAGGACTTCTCCCCCCGCTTCCCGCCTGTAAAGGGCTTTTGACCTCTGAAATTCTGTGATTCTCTCTCTTCCTGTTGGCAAAAAAGAGGGAAGCCAGGAGATAGTATCTGTTCCTAGGTGGGGGTTCCAGACATTGGACAAAGGTGCTCACCTCTGGCACTATTGGGCGAGGGGGAGCCCAGGGCTGAGGCCACCCTGCGGGGACAGGGAGACTCTATAGCAGTCTGCCCACACTGGACACTTGAGTTTGGGCTGGTACAAGGCAGCTCCTGTCAGGACTTCTGACCCTGCACAGCCGCCGCCCTCCAGGGCTTGAAGCCTTCCCACTGAGAATACTGCAATCTTCCCCATCAGAATTTTGTTGTTGACTACAGACCAATCTGTAATTTCATAGAAAGCTTGAAAACTACTTCTCAACAAAGGGTCACATCCCCTAAATCCTTGGCTCAGGAGTGTTTGGAAATAGTGTGGATACTGTGAGTTGTTGCTGTGGCTGGAATTCGCCACTGACGTTCCGAATCCAGATGCTAAGGAAGCTCTTCAATGTCCTGTACAGAGCAGCACTGAAACCCGGCCGGAGCCCCTCAACCACACTCTTCAAGCAGTTCAGCAGGAAGATTCTCTGGGGGTCTTTCCCTGAGTGTAAGCACAAAAGCTGCAGGATTGGCAGCTCTCTGGCAGTGACGTGCTCGTGGGGCATCCACAGCGGCCCCTGAGCCTGGCAGCTGGCCCCGTCCTTCCCCTCCCTGCGTGGAGCCGTGGCCGTCTGTGTTTGGAAGGGGCTCTCCCAGCCAGGATACCTCCTCACTTCCCTCCTCTGCTACCCTCACTGTTCATCTCCTCATCTGCCACCAGACTACACAACGTGTCCTAGGAATCATGGAGCACTTGCAAAGATTTTGAAGCTCTTCAGTAAGACCTAGTTTGGAACCTTCCATAGAAACCTAACAGGTGCGCTCTCAGGGGTGGGGGTGGGGACACTGTATCTTTATGTTCTCTGGGGCTCTGGATGGCATTCCTTGTCCTCCCCCAGGCTTCTCGTGCTCCTTTTCCTTTCTCATGGAGAGGTGGTTTTATTTTTGAGTTCATTTGGGCTTTTTCCTTCTGGCTTGTAAGGCCCAGAGCCAAGAGCTCAGATCCCTTGCTGCGGAGAAGGGATCCCAGGTGTGGTGCTTCTTGCCTTCCTGAGCTGGATCCTGGATGGATTTCTGGAAAAAGCCCCTTTCCAAGAATTTAATAGGTAGTTTCTGATGCCAAAAGGGGATTTTTAAAAAGGGAAAGAACCCTCGAGAGGGGTTATTTTGGGGGCATTAGAGATGCCAAGAAGCGTCCGGGGAGGGCGGGGTGGAAGGAAAGGGAAGCTCCAGACAGATATCTGTGTCGCCCTTGGGTCGCGGAGTGACCAGAGAACAGCAGAGTGCGCAGCACGTGCGAGAGCCATCCCGTGCTAAGGTCTTCTGTATTGATGTTTCTCTTTCATTATACGGTTCAGAAATACCCTTTACACCTGAAGCACTGAGCCCTCAGTACTTAGCACTTTGATACTTAGCACCTTAGTACTTAGCCCTGTGCTAGCTTGGATGAGATGGAGTGAGGTGAAGCTCAGAGGAGTGAGAGGGACACAGTCCTTGCCCTCCAGGAGCCATGAGCCTGGTCTGGAAGACCAGATTTCCTCCCTTGCCTCCCAGAACATGGAAGCCTGATTCCAGTGCAGAGAGCCTGGCTAGCAGATGGGCGCAGCAGAGGGTGCCTGCACTCCTTCCCATCGGGTGATTGGCCACGCTGCAATAATGGTGCAAACACATTCGCATTCATTATTTTATTTATATAGAACCATCCGTGCACATGCTCACACACGTACACAATACACCGTGCCAAAAACTTGTACACACCTTTTAAGGAAGGAAAAACTGTATTAAAATTGTAATACTTAATATATACTGATGATAAAAGGTGAATACCAGTCACATTGAGCACCTCTGGTAATTGCAAATAGAGTGTTTTCTTGCTTTAAATGTGTATGCACTGTTTGGCATCCTGCATATATTATAAATCAATTGATGTGTGTATGTGCATGTGAGTGTATATACATATACACATATGTATTTTTTAATTTAACAAAGTTTTTTCTATTTTTTCTCTCTTTTTTTAATTAAACCATAGCTGTGTACATTAATGCAATTGGGGTACAATGTGCTGGTTATATATACGATTTGAAATATTCTCATCAAACAGGTTAACACAGCCTTCACGGCATTTTCTTAGTTATTGTGTTAAGACATTTGTGTTCTACATTTAGTAAATTTCGCATGTACCCTTGTAAGATGCAGGGTTTTTTTTCCTTCAAATCATTTACCTGCTTATTGACTTAATTTGAAAGCAGTAAGACAATTAGTAAACTGGCTCTGGTGAAGTAATAAGTTTATTGCTCATTTGTTGAAAATACTTTAAATATTTCAATCAAAAGATAACATAAATAAAAGACGTTTCATATCTAAAACTTTGACATCAAATGGTAAATCCTCAAAATTATAGAATGCTTTTTAAAGAACTGAAAATTTTACGATTGCAAGCAGATAACTGATCTCTTAATGAGAATTATTGTAAATGCAGGATATTAAAAAATTTTACTGATGCATAATATTTTCTATTGATCCCATAAACATGTACATAATATTTGAACATATTTATAAGACACATTGATACTTTGTTACATGCACAGAATGTGTAAGATCAAGTCAGGTATTTAGAATATCCATCACTGCAAACATTTATCATTTCTCTGTGTTTGGAACATTTCAAATCTTCTAATTTCTCTGAAATATCTAATACATTGTTGTCAGCAGTTGCTGTTGTTAGAATTTACTCCTTGTGTGTGACTGGATGTTTGTAGCCACGGTCCATCCTCCCTTCATCCCAGCCCCCTCCACACCCCTTCCCAGCCTCTGATAACTACGTCCCTTTCCACTTCCATGAGATCAGCTTTTCAGCTCCCACCTGTGAGTGAGAACTTTAGCCAAGATATTTTAGTCCTTTTCCTTTCAAGGAGTGCTTGCATTTTCTGCCTTGCTGCTGCCTTTTTATTAAACGTATTCTGTTAGGTGTTGCCATAACAAGTTTGCAAACCATTCAGGATGTCTTCTGGGCCACAGCAGGCTGGTGGAGCCCTCTCACCGGCTCAAAAGCTCCACCTCCCCAGGGCCACAGCAAAGCCCTGCACACGTGAACAGCCGTCTAGACCCACTCAGTCACAATTCACATGGGAATAAAAGTTGGTGCTGTAGAAAGCCAGACAATTCCTGATAATAGCTTTGATTTCTGTGTTCTTTTGTCTATAAAATTATCAGAATGTTTTAGAAAGAAAGTGGGAAACAGAATTCCTGACTGGATGACTGCGGTGGAGGATCCGAGACACCCTCATTGCCACCATCCTGCCGATGGTGTCTTCTGACATTCCGGGTTCTGCTCACACCCAGTGTCTTCTGACATTCCGGGTTCTACTCACAGTGTCTTCTAATATTCCAGGCTCCGTGTC